CCCTCTTTCTGCACTTTATTTTCCTCCTTCCTCTCTCCCCCCTCAGCCGTCCCCCCTGAGGCTCTGCAGTTTTCTTCAATCACAGCAAACTAAATGGAAACACTTGAAATCTAATTTACTCACAGATTCCCAGAATTCCTGGCTGTGAGGTCACTCAGTGTCTCAGTTGTGCTCATGACTTTCACTGCTCGGAAATGGAAATCCGACCCCGCGCTCAGCAGGAACCTGTGGGCTGGATGTGGGTCAGGACCAACCAGGCTGCAGACAGTATGATATCATCATCCTTCCAAGGGCCATCCCCATGTTGCACCACAGAATATACTGTATTTCAATCTGGCAAGAAATTCTAAAAATCGTACCTTCCGTGGGTCCATCATTACAGCCAGGGTTTGTCTTGACTAACACTGTTCACATTTTGAGATCTTTGTTATTTTATAATCAAGATCTAAATGTTGATGCGTGAAATTAGGTCTGAAATAAGATGAGATAAGATGAACCTTTATTTCAGGTGCTATAGAATTAACTATAACTATTGTATTAACAGTATGAACGACAAAAACAACACGAGTTAAACTCTGATAAGGTAAATATGGGAATTAAAAATGTACTAACACGTTGTTATATAAAATGTGACATTTTAAATTATGTATAGCTTCAGTGAAGTACAGTGTGTTTGTTAATAAAGTGTTTTATTACGTTTTAAGTTTTATTAAGTAAGTCAACTTTCTGTGAAGCAGATTGGAAGTGAGTCATCAGAGTGTTGCTCAATGTTGACTCACTATTGTGAAATCTGTGAGACTACATTCAGGACTAATGAATTCCACCTGGCTGAGGGAGCCTGTTGCATAATGACTCACAATGACAAGGGACACACTGGCTCTGTCTGCCAGGGTCGGTTTGCAGGACCGACATGGTGCCATGTTACAAAGAGCGCACAAATGATCTCTTCCCTTCTTTCTGTAAATACATCCGATAGATGATGCAAATAGCCAAACTGAAAGAAGATGCTGTCCCCCCCCTTTCTACTTTCGCTTCTTACACAACCTTCTTGGGGTTAAACTCTGTCAGAGAATACACACAAGCCTCCACCTCCCCAACGTTGTCCCTCAGGGCTGGACAAACGCCAACCGCTCTGGGGGTCTCAGCAGGGGGGGGACACCTGGGGGGCTGGAGCTCTGCCATGGGGCCTGGAGAGAGAGATCCTTCCCTCATGTGGACCCACCCTGTGCTGCACTGATTACATCTTGATTTACTTAGGTGATGTCATATCTGTGTGTGTGTGTGTGTGTGTGTGTGTGTGTGTGTGTGTGTGTGTGTGTGTATGTGTGTGTGTGTGTGTGTGTGTGTGTGTGTGTGTGTGTGTGTGTGTGTGTGTGTGTGTGTGTGTGTGTGTGTGTGTGTGTGTGTGTGTGTGTGTGTGTGTGTGTGTGTGTGTGTGTGTGTGTGTGTGTGGCCTAGCATTACTATACTTGTGGGGACCTAAATCTGTTTACACAGTCACGTGTGGGGACTCGTCTCCCTTAATCATTAATTTTAGGGTGAAGACTTGGTTAGGTTTAGGATTAGGGTTAGGATTAGAGTAATGTTAAGGTTAGGGTTAGGGTTAGGCATGTGTTGGTTATGGTTAAGGTTAGGATAAGTCTCCAGGAAATGCATGTAAGTCAATGTAATGTCCCCTGAAGTGATGTATACATGGTATGTGTGTGTGTGTGTGTGTAGTACACTTCAGTCCCTGCTGTCTGATATAACCTCATCTTTCAGTGACTCTATGAACTTCTCTTCTTATCTGGTTTACATTCCATTCTGTTTCAAACATTTACAGATTGAGAGTGGTACTGTGAGCTAGAGAGAGAAATAGTGTGTTTGCGTTTACGCACTGTATGCGTTTTCAAAAAAGTCTTCCGTAGTAGTAGTAAAAGATCAGAATGATTCTCCTACCACAGCTGTGTGTGTGTGTGTGTGTGTGTGTGTGTGTGTGTGTGTGTGTGTGTGTGTGTGTGTGTGCGTGTGCGTGTGTGTGTGTGTGTGTGTGTGTGTGTGTGTGTGTGTGTGTGTGTGTGTGTGTGTGTGTGTGTGTGTGTTGCTCTCACAATAAAGTTGTTTGTCATACACAAGAGTTTTGACGTTTTCAGGCTTGGAGGAATAAAGTTACATGAAATGAAAAAACTCTTCCCCTACAAGATCCCCAAATGTGTCCGTCCTGAGTAAATGTGGGCTACTTGGTTACATTCCATCACACATGACTGACAAGGTGTACTGTCTGTTCCTGATAAAGACCATAAACTGTGTTGCTCTTACAATAAATAAAGTTGCTCTTGAAACCAAAGTGTTGCTGCAGTTTGACCTCTTCTAACTCTTTCCCTTCTTCAAGCATTTTGGGAGTGAAGTGGAGCCAGAAACCCTAAACCCTAAAAGTAACATCTCATGTTTTTTCACATGTTGCAGTGTTATTGTAAGATGCTGCTTCAGCGGAAAAGACGCCTGTGTTTCTTTGCTGACGGGCAGAAAGCACTCACCAGTGAATGAGAGAAGAGGGACTGGCTTTAATTTGCCTTGTCCTGCAGGAGCCGTAAACAAGATGCGTCTGCACTCTCCATTTGTTCAATCCTCATTACTCGCTGCAATTAAGCTCAGTGCCAACCCTGAGGAGAGAGCCCCTGTACCTTCTGCTCCAGCAGGTCTCCACTGAGCCAGCAGTAGGAATTGTAAGGCCCATTTAAGTATCTGATTATTCCCCATAATGCAGAGACTTTATGACTCTGTGGAGAAAACAAGATGTGTTTCATTGACCCAGATACTGCTGCTGTAGCAACCAGGCTACATAGTTCCTTTATTGGTGATTCAAACCAGTGCAATGTTTTAGCCCCTTCATGCTACATATACATATTAAATAAACACATATTTAAGGAATAAAATCAATACAAAAGATTTAACTAGTTAATTTCAAACATATTCTTATAGACTTTGGTGTAGTGGTGAGGTTAGTGCAATAACTTTTTATTTAATTTAGATCCTGATATTAGCCGTAATTAGGTGTTGAAAGCTGCAGTTGCCAACTCAACATTTTATATTGAAATATTATTCAATTTATAACAACCTAAGGAACGAAAAAGACAGGACAGGTTTCAACTGTTTTTATATATCTTTACTGTAAGCCTGAAATATTTCCTGACCCTACACTTTCTGCTTGGCAGAGTTTTATGTTGGAGGACCAATAAAGATTCTTTAATTTGGAGAGAGTGTTGATGCTCTGCTCTGTTGCACTTTTTGTTTCAGCCTCATAAAGCAGCTATACAAAGCATTAAAATAACCCTGCAAAGCTGCCGTTTCCAATACAGCCTGACAATTATGTATTTATTCTAAGTAATCTGCATGATTGATGATTCTTTGAACAAATGGTTGTCCATATGAACAATAAACAGAGCCTGCTGGGAGACCCGTGCCGGATCACTGGTGTCGCCGTTAGACTGTGGTTACTGTCTGCCTGCTGCTGATCCGATTAAAGTCTTCATCATCTGCACACCCTCTCCCAGCAGGAGGCCAACAGCTCTCCTATTGGCTCCATGAGGTGCATATGGACAGACAACCACTTGCAGAGCATTGAACTTAAACAGGTTTACTGTTTTACTCAAGTACTTTACAATCTTTAAGTAACTTTGACTTTATCTAAGTTTTTTCAATGTATTCTACTTTATCCTATTCCAGCCAATATTGTATTGTCTGGTATATAACGCCTTTTTACTACACTACATTTATTTTACAGCTTTAGTTTCTTTACAGGTTGAGATTTGTAACTAATAGAAAATATAAATAAATAAACATTATATTATTGGTTAAGATATCCAGCAGTAGTATTCAAAGTTATTTAAATGACTGATGCCACCTTTATCAGCTGTCATAAACACATTCATGCATTCATAATCATAATCCACTATTTTCATTTATATGATTCTGAAAGTACTTTCACTTTTGTTACTTTTGTACATTTTGATGTCAATAATTTTGTACTTTTTTGAATAAATACGAATTTAATTGCAACAAAGTATTTTTTACAATACAATATTATTTGTAATGAAGTAAAATATGTGAGTACTTCTTACACCTCTGAGTGTACATCAGTCTGAAGCCTCATTTATCAGGAGCTCTGCCTGTAAAGTCCGAAGTGTTGACCCAAAGTGATACAGGAAGCTTGGCATTTCTTTCTTTCAAAATATAGCAAAACACATCTTGTTAATATTTGAAAAATCATGAATGTGTTTTTTTTTCATTTATGCAGTTGTGGAATGTTACTTTTGCATGTATTCGAGTGCTGAACTTAATTACCATGTTGCCACACTTGTTTTTCATTTATTTGTACACTTCTATTCTCTGCTATTTTATACTTCTACTCTTCTACATCATCTCAATTTGATCTATTGTGCTATCTACTTGAAGATATTGATCAGATAGCCTTTGTTACATATTCACTTTTACATCAGTAAAAAAACATGTAATATTGTTAATGTGATATGATGCAGTCCTGTACTACTAATCTACTCAATAGTAGGGCAGTGTATGCGGCAGCCTGAGGAACAGCAAGATTAAAATGCTCGAACATGTAGCCTATTCATTTGCGATAAAGTGTTAGAGTGTTTGCATTATGGGTAGTTTTTAAATCTTCAAGTAGCCTACAGTTTTACACTAGATTACGTTTGTGGTACTAAAGCTATTAGTAGTGTAGGATGTGCACTTGTAGGCTAATGACATTGTTATACACTGTTGTATAAACATTTGATAAGTAAATTATGACTTCTTCCAACAATGTATTTAAGACACCAATGAATTTATGTTTTATTCTTTATTTCCATTTCTTGGGATTGTTTGTTACTGTTAGATGACTGAGAACTCATAACAAGCCACAGCATCTTATTTTGAAACTCCTAACCGGATGTTGACCGTGCTCATAGTATCTGATTGGCTACTCTCCTGTGAGTGAGTAGCGGATCCCTGTTGAACTTTCTCCGTGCAGAGCACCAGAGCAGTAATACCCGGCGGTAAGGGGTTTATCCGCCCGGCTGAGCGCTGTGTCGGTTGATTGTAAAACTGAACTCCGGGGATTTTTATTCCCGCAGGAAAGACGGAGCGACGCTTCCCTCTTAAGGTAAATATGAATATCAGGTTATTCTTCGGGCTTTTTGTGGTATTTTCTCCCTGGGTTTAAACGTGGTGAGGGGTCGGTCGCTGGCAGCTGCCTACCTGTTGAATAGACCTAATGCTTTCTATTATGTGAAAAACAAAAAGAGGGAAAACTGACCAGTCTAACTTTTTATCTGTAAACATAATGGCTCCACTGCGCGTGACACTCCCTTTGGTTTCAACATGTGGAGAGAAACATCCAAACATGCTCACTACACACCTTCTACAGACGTCACCACCAGCTGGGTTTTAGCCAAATAGTATGATCTGGTGAAGCACTAGGTAGCAGGATCATGATTTTTCTCTTGGTGCTGTGGGACAGTGTAGGATTCATTCAGCCATCCGATGAGCCTTGAAAGGGTCAACATCACTAAATGATCTACATTCTCATGAGAGTTTAACAGGTGCAGTCCAAAAAATCGAATCAGTGATGAAGGAAATAATACACGTTTTGGAAACGCACTCAGTGACTCACACTACCTGCAGATCTCCAGGAATAAACTCATCCTGGGGCTAAACCCAGAGCAGGTCACAGCAGCGGGCAGGCCGCCAGAGTCCTGCTGTCTGACAGGGAGAGAGACACAGAGAGACACAGAGAGGTCCAGCTGCACACTAGGACAGTTTGATCTGAAGGAGGACAGATCCACAGCTCCAGGTGTATCATGGTTATTAGCGGACAGAAGTTTGTGGGAGTCACATTGATTAAAGCCTGTCAGAAAAGGCATTTTATTATCCTGAGTGGAAGTGGCTTTGCTTTTTCTGGATTAGACTAGAAAGAGACAGATTTGTTCCACTCGCACCGATCACTCACCCGGAGAGGGAGTCTCCAGGACAGAGGGCTGATCTCAGCTGCGTTACATAACCGAGGGAAAGACAATTCAAACATGTTTTATTTCTCATCTGTGCGTTTCTGTAGTGGCTACACCTTTTTTAATGTTTTAGATTACTAGTTAAACTATTCTAATGAAGCTTGGAGAGGAACAGAGACAGGGGGAGAGATTTGATCTCAAACCTGTTTACAAAGTAACCCTTTTTTTAACGCCGAGAGATGAATCAGAGCTTCTGATGATGACTCAATCATACATTTCCTCACCAGTGTTCTACATGAACATCAACTTATTCTCAGATATTGTGCAGTTTTTAACTGTTTTTATTTGAATAATATATAGATCAAACCAAATCTTGATGAGTTTGATGGAAGATGAAATCAGCTTAACTTTTTTTTGGTAAAAACAAACGGATTAGCAGACAAGCAAAAGGCGTGTTGTCAACAGTCTCCTGCTGTGCGTAATTACGCATGACGCAGGAGAGGATCACAACAATGAGAGGAGCGGCATGCTCCGTCTAGTGTCTGTCCTGGAAGATGACAGGGCTCACTGTCTGTCTTACCTAGAGGACACATGTAGCACCAATGGAGCTGAGAGCAGAAACAGATGTGGGTCAGTGAGTCTCCTCTGAGGCACATTGCACCATCAGCAGCGTGCCAGTAAAGAAAAGTGAAGCTAAGAGAACACACATTTTGAGTTATTTAGACTCAATTAACACTTATAGTTTCATGTCTTGTTACGTAAGAATAGATCATATTTGTTAAGTGTTATTGTGGGAGAATTACTATTCTTGTGGTACTACTGCCTTATTGGGCCCATATTGAGCAGAGCATATTAAGACCAAAACTCACGTACAACAACTTCCTTACTTGCAACAAATCAGCACTAATTAGAGGGTTATTGAGGAAAAACTCTCAACTAATGGCTTATTACTTGTAGAATATGGTCATGTAGAATAAGGTATTAATAAGTGTTTTATAATGACTAATAAAGAGCCAATATACTGCTAATATGCATGTTAATTAACAACTAGTTGATGGTGAGTTTGTGTACCTTAATATAAAGTGTTACCCATACTTTTTACCATGGCTGAAACAAACAGCTTTTTTAATTCTTTTTTCAAATAGTCGGTTCGTAGTATTGTCTATAAATGATCAAACAATTCAAAATAGCTAATGACAGCTTCTCAAATTGACGTCTTCAAATGTCTTGTGTTGTCAACAATCCAAAGACATTTTGTTTAAATGATATAAAGAAATGCAGAAAATCTGAGACATTTGAGAAGCTGAGACGAAACACTGTTTGGCATTTTTCACCATTTTATCTTGATAAATGAAACATTAAGTCCTCCAAATCGTTGATTATTTTTTATATCAATCAATAAATCAATTCAACGATTACGACATGACTACACTAGAACAACGACTACCTTTTTTTTAGCTTTGTTTGTACAGTACAATGTCAAATTAAATAGATCCCAAGTTGCAAAACTCATTCCATATTTTTTCCTCCTGAATGCTGAAAATACAATTCCAACATCTTTGGCTTCTCAATAAGCAAAATGTGATTCTTGATTCATGGCTTAACTATTTTTAAATATTGTATGCAAAGAAATCTCGTCTATATTTTTATGGAGGACGGAACATGACTTAAGTATAAATAAATAAATGTATGAAGAAATACAGGAATAAATAAATAAATACGTAAATAAATAAATAAATACAGGAATAAATAAATACAGGAATAAATAAATGACGAAATAAATACAGAAATAAATAAATGTTGAAATGAATACACAAATAAATAAATAAAAGAATAAATGCATAAATAAATATGGAAATAAATACATCAATGTATAAATAAATAAATAAAAGTCGAAAATAAAACAGAACACACGTTATTATATATCTTTCATTTATTTCTACATTTACGCGACATACATTTATTTATTTATGTATTTATGTGTCCGTATGCTAATGAGGTGGGCGGTCCTAACCTCAGTCTGAAGCAGGATTGGTTACAGGAGTGTGTGATCATTTCTGGCAGAGGGCTCTACTACTAACGCCTGGATAACCGCGCTGATTCGAATGCAGGAGCTTTACTGTTTAGCCCTTATCTTTATACATCCATGGTTTATCCACAGTTGTAAGGTGTATTTATGGATATTGATTTAAGAGCCATTGGAGATCATTTACGATCATTAGCGGACCATTTAGAGAACGGAGAACCAAAAGACTATGTCCAGTTTCGTGTGGAACGATGTATAGAGGACTTGGCTCAGCTCGATATGATGTGACTTGCCACAAATCTATTGCTTCTGCCTGGCTCCAACAATTGGCGAATCCTGCTTCAGACTGAGGTTAGGACCGCCCACCTCATTAGCATACGGACACATAAATACATAAATAAATAAATGTATGTCGCGTAAATGTAGAAATAAATGAAAGATATATAATAACGTGTGTTCTGTTTTATTTTCGACTTTTATTTATTTATATACATTGATGTATTTATTTCCATATTTATTTATGCATTTATTTATGCATTTATTCTTTTATTTATTTATTTGTGTATTCATTTCAACATTTATTTATTTCTGTATTTATTTCGTCATTTATTTATTCCTGTATTTATTTATTTATTTACGTATTTATTTATTTATTCCTGTATTTCTTCATACATTTATTTATTTATACTTAAGTCCTCCATATATTTTGAGGGGTGATCAAAGGGGTTCGTCGTCATGACTTCAGCCGACAGATGTATGACTCAGCTGTCCTTATTTGGATGAATTATTCCTCAGAAGCATTACAAAGGAAGGTCGCCCACATCCCATCATCCTTCTGAGTCAAACAGCCATTTACCTCAGGAAGTTACCCATAACCTGTAACTTCATCAGTTCAACAGAATATGACCACCCTCTGAACCAGTTCTGACTGGTTCAAATCTACACTGGTGGTATTTGTACGAGCATTCGCATTGTTGTGGTACATTTTTGGGACGTTGTTTTTGTGGACTTTGTTGCAGCCGACTGTCTACGTCCTCCCTTCATTAGACAGTTTGTTAACAGATGTTTGACCGTTTGTTCCACTCCTTTGCTTCCATACATGTTAACTCTAAAAATAGAGCAGACAAGTTAATAACCATCTTCTCTGATGTTTCTGAGGTCAGGGGATGTTTTGATGGATGTCTTTGGATCATGGGGTTGGAGGGAGAGGCGAGAGGAAAGACTCATTATGATTCAAGTTCTTTCACATTTCAAACCCATTGACTGTGATGTTCTGTGAGTTCCAGAGATGAACCTTACTACACATCAGTGTCAGTGGGTTTTTAATGGATACAACCAGATACGAGTCTCTTCCAGTTTTACCTTCTGCTTTTCTGTTTTAGCCCCTAATACAATCCATTTATAATCTTCACCAAAACATGTTCTACATGTCACCCTGTCTCAAGCATGTAAAAGCTAATACCAAAACACAAACATTTGAATGTTATGCTCAGTGGGGGAAATTCATAGTGACTCTTTATTCTTTTTCAGACAATTAGAGTTAATGTTTACTTTGCATGTTAAGATGTCACATCTTAAACATATGATCATCAATCAGCTGCAGTGAGCTTCGACCATCTGAAGGAAAAGATGAAGTGTCTACAACCATGCTAGAGATTCTTTGAGCTAAATGCTAACACTAGCATGGTAACTTGCACTGAGAGTAACTATGCTAACATGCTGAGGCTAAGCAGTTACAATGTTAACCAATAGTAAGGCGTGTCAGCAGCTAACATTGAGGATGCTGGGGACTTCAACGTTTGCAGATATTTTGCCATGAACCAAAATTGAGGTTTAAGTGAATACAAGGCATCCTAGGATGGAGGTGAAAGGAGCTCCCCCCCATGGCCACCCCCACGGAGCCTCATCTAATGACCTCCTGCTGGGAATGTTACTTAGCACCTGAATGCTGCAGAACACCCTCAGGACTTTACGTGTGTCTCTGGCAGTCATTTGGTCAAATGTAGTTTGACCTTTTGTGTAAATAGCAGATCGATTGTTCCCCTTTACTGTGAAGTCTGTTTCTTTAAAAGCATCAGAAGGACCTGAAATGTAAATCCACACTTCATGGCCATCTTTCTTTTCTCTTCCCTTCATGTCTTCTTTGAAATGATGTATCGACGTATGTGTAATATCATCCTCTGCTGTGATGCAATCTGTGCTGCTCACTTTTGTGGTCTTCTTAAGGAACACTTTTGTGTTTCCCATGCAAATTAGACTAATGTTCAATCCGTCCCATTGCAAGCAAAAGCTTAGCAGCATGAACACCTGGACTGAACTATATCATTCCACGTTGTCCTGGAGGCAGTGTGTCCCTACATAGCAGCATCTGAAGACAGCCTCGTCGTCCTTCTAGAGACTCAACCTCAAATTCCCTTCGTCTGTCTGAAACACGTTTTGAAATGAGAAGAAGATGACATGTTCCCTGTTATGATCTCACACTTCATTCCCTTGTGCTTTAAAAAACACAACTTGGCGGTACTTTTATACTACAACACTACTACTGTCCTTTTTGACTCGCTACATGTGTTAGATTACAGAAGTTACTTTGCAGATTCACCAAATATAAACAAATAAATGATTATGCATTATTATAAGATAAAAGAGAGTAGCAGGACACATTGATTTAAGCCCCACCTTTACACGCTGCAACATTACATTGAGGAACAAATGAAAGCATCCGTAAATATAATCCGATATTAGTCAAATGTTCTCAAATGAGCCCTTTTGCATCGTGAGTTATATTACCGTTGATGTGTGAAAACTATTTGGATGCTAAAAAAAAAAAACCTTTGTATTTTTACAAGTAAACATATTGACTGCAGGACTTTGACTTACAATGAAGTATTTCTCAGTGGTGTGCCTAAGTAACAGATGTGAGTAGGTTGTTCTTTATCTGCGTGCACTTCACAGCAGCTCTTCAGATGCCACTGACACGATAACGCTATGGAAACAAGGACATTTTGCCGCAGTCTAAGTTGTATCAGTTTGAAAAGTTACTTTTTGTTTTGTTTTTAGATAAGACAGGCTGCCAGAGACAAACAGGACACTGTGTGTGGTAGTTTGACGGTGTGAGGGTCCACACTGTTATTAACAAACAGTCCACACACTCCTCAGTGCATATAATCATCTCCTCAATAAACTGAGAGGCCGTGAACCCAGTCACAACACTCTGATATATAACTTTCATTTTCAAACAATGGTGAGCATTCATCAAGTAACACATGATAATGCATTCACACTTCATTCTAGCAACCATTGTGTCAGAATACAAATACATACAATTATTTTATGAAATGTAGTTCAAACATTCCTCAAGACAAAATGCTTCCTCAGGCTACAAAAAGAAAGACATTGTACTTTTTTAGTAATATTGTATTTGGGGAAACATGATGAGTACAGAGACACACACCAAACACCTCCCACCCAGACCTCAGGAAAAGTGTTTTAAACGGTTTTTTCCCCATCATCATCATCATCATCATCATCATCATCATCATCATCATCATCATCATCATCATCATCATCATCATCATCATCATCATCAAACATCTAGCTCTCTTGTTGTGAAGGAAAGCACTGCACATTTCAAATGTCAAACCTCTGAACACCAGCACTTGTTTTTGTCTGAAGGGTTAAACACCAAAGGAATGTTTGGGATGGTGATGGGATCATAAGATCACAGAGCCCCAGGCGAGACCTGACCCATGGCATCCCATAATTCACGGTGTTTGTCTCAGGAAAGAGACTTTGAGATGTTTCACTGATAACAGGCGAGTTGTTGCAGAGGCCCAAACCTTTTAAAAGCAACCATTTCCATGCAGTCATTTGCGTTTCCACTAACTGAGCGGAGGGCTCCTCTGGGAATGCGTGACCGATGTTCTGCCTGGTCTGACTCACTGTAGGCCTGGAGTCACACACTCTGGGGCGGTGGAGCCCTCTCAGCAAACACTCCGGAGGGTTTTCCGTCATATGTCTTCACTGAAAGGGAGGTTGTAAATCTGCCCCCGCCTTCATTCCTCCTCTTCCCCAGACCCTGCTCCTCCCTTCCCCTTCGTCCCATCCATCTCCCCTTCGCCTTTCCTCCCTCTCTTCATCACTCTGACACATTTTTCTCTTGTTTCTCCTCAGATTTCCAGCATTTTCATATCACATTCCTGAAGTTTCTGAAGAGCTCAGCAGACGGGCCGACAGCAGACCACCAGGACCCTTCAGTCTGAGGAGGGATAAAGACAGGAGTGTGTGTTTTCAAGTGAAGTGGCCCCTGTGTTTGCTGGATATGGCTTTTCTGTGTTTGAGAGAAAGACACTGGGACCAGATCTGAGGTCAAGACCTTCCGTCTCCTCCCCTCCCCCCCGGAGTCACATGACAGCGCGAGGCACAACCCGGGGTTGCTATAGCTACCGACTGAAATATTTGTATACTCACTTGGAAAAGCAACACAGACAGGATCTCTCATTGGGAGGGGAACGAGCCAGAGGAGCTTCAAAGTGAGTTTGCTTTGTAAACTGTTCATTTACCCCCCCCCCCCCCCCTCCTCTCTACCCACATACACACAGTGTTCCCCTCCTCTCAGACAAAGAGACGTTTTCCCTGAATCACCTCAAATTGACCAAAATGCCAGCAAAGACACCAATGTACTTAAAAACTACAACTCCCAAGAAGGGTAAGAGGCTGAGGCTCCGGGATGTGCTCTCAGGGGACATGATCAGCCCCCCGCTGGGCGACGTGCGTCACAGCGCACACGTGGGGCCGGAAGGTGAGGGCGACATGTTTGGAGACGTGGGCTTCCTGCAGGGGAAGATGGGCATGCTGTCGGGGCTGAGCGGGGGGCCGGACGGGCGGTCCCACAGCGTGGAGCAGCGCCTGGACCACGGCCCGGACCCCCACAGCTACGCCTACAACGGCTTCCACTACCAGCACTCCTCCAGCGGCCTGCTGAAGACCACCATCTCCATGCCCGTGTTCATCGCCCACGAGCAGGCCCCACCCAAACCCCCACGCCTCCACCTCGACGACCCCTCCCCTCCTTCCCAACAGAACCACTTCCACCCCCACCAGACCCCCACAGACTCCAGCCACAGACAGGCTAACGGCCACAGCCGCTCGGACAGCCGCAGCCAGATGTTTGAGAATGGGTTGGTGGGCCGCCTGGCGTCAGAGCCCTGCAGAGACGTCTCCCTCCCCCCTGCCGTCCGCCGGCTCGTCCCCTCCTCCGGGTCCTTCTCGGAGGGCTCCTCTGAGGACTCCATGTCAGAGACCTGCGGGCCCCTGGACAGTCGCCGGGGCCTCAGCCTGGACTTTGATGCCGGCCTGAGCAATGAGGACCTGAGGAGTGAGCGCAGTGACTCGCCCAGTCCCCCCTGCCGCCCGGCCCCTCTCACCGTCTCAGGGGGGGTGTCCAGGTCAGACTCTCTGATGGGGTTGAATCTGGATCTGGGCCCCTCTATCATGGAGGATGTCCTGAGCATCATGGACCGCTACAAGACTGAGGACAACCGCTGTGAGCTGTGAACACTCTGTGTACAGATACATACATCCTGAAAGACTTCATACAGATGCTAACAAAGGAGACTGGACGGAGGGTTGAGAGAAGACTGCTTCACAGTGCTTTTGAACATGTATCTGGGTATATGGAGTGCCTGCCATCCCACAAACTGAAGTATTGAAACCCGGTCTGTGTTTTGTACGGGTTGTCCATCAGAAAACATGGGATTACACAGGCTATTCAGATGTGTCCCCCTCTTCTCATGTCACATGCAGGCTCCCTGCACTTCTCAGGAGGGGGGGCTAAAGCGCTACAGCAGAGCGTTTCAGACAGTGTGAATACAGGTTTATTCAGACAGGCAGTATGAGAACAATGATGTGTTTTGAGAACATTAAAGCTTGTAAATATGTTTTAGTAGAGACCCAATGTATGAACCTGAAAGTGAGCATATGACCTCTTTGATAAAGGTGAGAAGCAGGTGGACTTTGTTGTGTTGGGACGTGTCTGCCCGATGGACAACAGACAAGGCAGAAGGCTGGTCCTTAAGAGCCTTTAACAAAGCTGAAACTCCTAACCATTCACATTTGAAGATAATAGTCCACTTCCATCTCAAACACATTCTGTGGACGGAATACTGGCCTCCACCGACATTGCATTGTCTATCACTCTGATTAATGCTGAGCATGTTCTGCTTGGTAATGGTTAACAAATTGCTGACTGTGTAGATGTGTGGGGACGAATCAGCAGCTCAGGACTCATCCACAGCCACTAATGTCTTACAACTACAGATGCTCAAATAATACATTTAAAGTCATACTAAGCTGAAGTGCAAACATCATTATGCTCTGTCCATATTCTGTCCTTATTCATCCTGGCTGCCTGTTTCAGAATCATTCATATTGATATCTTTACTGGTTTACTGTAACGCTTCAATGCCAGAAGAAATGTGAAGAACTCCTGATTTGCCTCTCCTCTTGTAAAAGATGAAGATGCAAGTTCAAATGGTTTCTAAAGTGACATGTGAGAACAGCAGCGCTAACATTTCTTTCTTTCTCTTGATCAGAGGGAAACAGACAGAGCGTGTTATTGTAGTTCAACTCATCAAATGTTATTAGAGCTTTTCAAACCTTGGTCTTTCAAAACACTCCTCCTCCACGTTGTGGCTCCCTGTCGGCCTCCAGCACCACCGTCTGGATATCACAGTATCACTCACATGTCATTTATGCTGTTTATATCTATATGACTGTAAATGTAAGAATAAATTGTTATATACTGAGGATTCATGGACAATTATTTTCACACAACCACAAACATAAACACAGACCTTATTGTGCTTGATAGAGGTGGGAAGTAAGTACATTTACTTAACTAGCTGCACCTTCACCAGCTTTGAGAACACTTTCATGATCAATCATTATAAAACATATCATATATATTATTCTGAAATGGACCAATCAAACAACGACTACTTTTACTGTCGCTACTTTTTCCCTTGAAAAAGAGATCATTGATCTCAGTGGGATTTTACCTGGATAAATAAAAGTTTTGAATTGAATTGAATTCACTATATTTGATGATAATACTTTTCTACTTTCACTTGAGGAACATTTTGAATGCAGTACTTTTACTTGTAACATAATTCCTACACTCTGGTACTTAAGTACAAGGTCTGAGTACTTCTCTCTGTCTCCTGATAATAATCGATAATTGATTTAAATTTAAAACAGTATTTTGTTTCTTCATTGTGAAAACAATGGTTGGCAGCCACTCCCTTTATTCTATATTTGTAAAGTGTACTAGAGAAATGTAACCAAGTACTGTGAAATTCTTAGGTAATTGTACTTAAGGCTATATTTCCATCCAAATGCCTTTGTACTTCGACTTAGTTAATGTTGCGACCTGGCTCAGAAGGCCACAACAAAAAGGAGACACAACATGTCAACGGGTAGAAAAAGGTGTTTATTTGCACAAACAAGTCAAATGAAATACTGTGTATACTCATCAGAGCCGGGTGCCTGCAGGAGAAAAGCAGAGAGAGAGCACAGAGAGGAGCAGAGAGGCTCTAAATAGCTGCAGGACACCAGACCCAGGTGCCCTGAGTCACTGCAATCAAGGTAATCACTGGAGCCAATGCAGCACAGACAGAACAGCCACACCCTCTCTACTGATGCACCCACAGGGGCATCACCGCTAACATTCAAACTGCAGCACAAGTACAACATTTGAGTACTTTAAGCTTCTAAATGATTGTAGAGGTGGTCATAGTTATGAAGACGTTATTTCAAAGCACCAGGGTCAGTGTGAGCCACACCCCCTTGGTCAAACATGCACTTTGGGCTGAATGTGAAGATGATAGCAGGTCATTGGGTGTGTCTGAAGTCATGCACAATTAAGGATGAAGACAACAAAAAATGACATGAGATATCACACGTATTTCTGTTCTGGATTGATCCTGCCAAAGGTTTGCTGCATACATTTCAAATGATCTGAATAAATACAAATCAGTGTGGTGATGTGCACTATGTGAAAATAAATGCACACTTCAAAATTAAAAGTATTAAAACTAGATTCTGACGCAGCATGGGTGTTAATGGTTAGCTTTAGTTTAAAAAAAGTCCCAATGATAACACCACATGCTACTTTATCAATCCTCACTTGACAGTAACGTTTGATATTCCAAGTGTTTTATCCAAAAGTATTAGAAACATTTATCATTTCTTCTGCTTTTTTGCAAATGGAATGCAGCAACATCCCTGCCTGCAATTGCCAATAACAAATATAACACAAATATCAGTATCATTATTTTGCCACAGAAACATGTGACGCTGTAAGGCAATGCAAGGCAAGGCAAGGCAAGGCAAGTTTATTTATATAGCACCTTTCAACACAAGGCAATTCAAGGTGCTTTACAAAAATGAAAGACATTCAGACAAAGGCATTTAAAAACAGTAGTAGTATGTTCTAAGTAGAGATCTAGCCATTTTGATGTCTGATTCCACAACAAATGCTAAATTTACTTTAATGTCTGACAATGCTTTTATATTTAATAAGATGTCGTTTTCGACCTTGACCTCTAGAGGAAGTTTATCCTCCACTCCACTCATGATCACCTTTCGTATTTCGGTCTGACGGCGCCTCCCTGTGGCGATAGTGTGAAACTGCACAGGTAAATTAGTAAAGCTAGCGTACCATGGATGTATAATAAGAACAGCTTCTACCCATAGACTGCCACTTCCGGCGAACCCTTTCAAAATACAGTGACGCACATACGTTTAGAAATGAACGAAATAAACATGAAATAATCGTGTTAGTTGTCCAATACAGGTCAGCTGCTATGAGGTTTAGATATGTTACTCTTATCAAGGAACATTAACAAAAAGAGGTTAACAGCAAACACATTACTTAATACAGAGCAAAAATAAATGATACATTACTTATCAAAAATATTCAATACTTACATTAAAATAAAATATTTTTTGTGATGTAAAATTATACATATTGACAAGCCAAGTAGTGCAAAATGCAAGAAAATGCTAATACAACAATAAAGTAAAAGCATGTTAAAATATTAATGAGTCCAGGTGAGGAGTTATTTGTCATGCTCGAAGAAGACGATCTGATAAAGGTTTAACTGCACAAATAATAAAGTCATTTATTCAGCAACCAGTGGCCGTCAACCATTAAAACTGCCAGAAAGAACAAGAACACCGGAAGAAGAATAGTTTGCTTCCGGTTTCCTTCCGGTTTGCTTCGGCCCATCACTGCCATCATTTGTTGTTTTTTCAAGTTATACATGATCATTTCAAAACAGCCATAGAGACTGAAGAGGAGAGGCTTATACACGCTTTACAAACATGAAGTGAGTGTTTATTAGGACTGAAAAGAAACACATTCCTGCAGGACTGTTCGGGCTAGCTTGATAGCATCAAGTTAGACTATACCTAGCTAAATTGTCTGACATCATTTGGCTAAGTGAACACAACACATGGCACTCACAGATGCAGTGTTTTCAGGTTATCGCATCAAAGTTGGCCTGGTATGTTTGTGTAATATGCAATACATTTGAGAGCTAACGTCCATGTTAGCTTAGCTTCATACACATATCTAGTTATTCCCTTGTAGCTGCTTTACTGAGCTTTACATATCCAGATGTGTGTGTCTCTGCTCTGAGTCTGCAGCATGTTCTTCTCTATTGTTTGATTCCAGGCTCAACATCGATGGTCTGTTGGTGTATTTTCCATATGACTACATATATCCTGAGCAGTACTCTTACATGCTGGAGCTGAAGAGGACTTTGGATGCTAAGGTGGGTGCTGCTGTTGGGTTATTCTATCTACAGTACATTCAATACAATTGACATTGTAGCTGTGCGCGCGGGCAAGTGCAATATACACACATATGAGAAAACATCGCCAAGCTAACAATGATAGCATGTAGTTTACATATAGCTTGTGACACAAATAGTATCTTTAATGTCACAGTGTTGCAACATAATACATTTAATGAAATACTGTAATACATATGACAGCTTTGAGTCTCTTTTCAAATGTACTGTAGAGCTGTTTTTCTAAAAAACTATTTTTAGAGATACGTGGTTCTCACAGAATAGCGACACTTGAAACTAAAGTGATTTGATAGAATATGATATATTACTGTAGGTTAAACTGCGCAACAGCAGTGCTTGAATTGGAATCAAAAAGGTGCCAGTACTCTAAATCAGCAACTGTTTCAAGTCAATTTATTTATACAGCCCAAAAACAAGCATTTGGCTCAAAGTCATAGTATATCCTATAATGCTGGTGGCTTTGTGTCTTTACTGTATATTTTAGAAAGGCTCACTGTACTTAAACAAAGTGACTCAGGGTGCATCTGAGATTAGAGGGGGTGCAGGGATAAAGTGCTATTTTTATAAGTGGATCTAACACAAGATTTATTTTTGACTACTTTTTTTACGATGTTGTATTTGAGTGTTGCCTCTGTGTTTAGTGTCCTGTCTGTCTGTAACTTTGTGTGGTAGTGTTACCACTGAACAGGTCTCTCTTGAAAATGAGACCTTGTGTCTCAATGAGATTTTACATCTGTATAAATAAAGGCTAAATAATTAAAAAAAGAAATTAAATATGGAAGTTAAAAGCATCAATCTGGTGCACTTTGAGAGCAACATTAAGAGAGCTATGGATACATCTCTCAACACCCATATGAAACAGAACTGTAAACAGATTTTCTTTTTCTTTATGGATATTTTACAAATCACTCCCCTTTTAACTCTATTCTTGTTTTACTGTCCTATAGTATTTCATTTTTAGTGATTTACTCAGATGAGTAGCTACCAGGAGACAGCGTTTGAGTTAGGCATCTGAGTTAGATGTATTTGAACCGAAATGTCTACAGGCCTAGCAGAAGATGGCATCTTTTTTACAGGAGATTCCAGCCAATCTCTGTTTTGAAACCATGAGCTGCTAAATGAGCGCCTTACCCCACTGTACAGGCGAGTTGGGGTACTTGTTTAAATATACCTGGGCAGGCTCTGTTTTGCCGAGGTCCTCTGGCACTTGCGGGCCGCCGAGGGGTGGCAGTGTTTGGGGCGACGAAGACTGCTGCTCCGGGGGCGAGGCGGGCAAAGCGGCGTCGGCATCTACTGAGTACTGAGTACCAGCGTACCGCCGTACCAGCACCTGCCGGTACTCAGTAAGAAGTAACGGTACCAGATGGGTAAAAATCAGAAGTCCCGGTACTGCGTACCGGTGAGTACCGGCCCAATTCAAGTACTGACTAACAGTGGATTGTGCGTTGGTGTTGGGATCAGGGGGTCTCAGGTTCAAACCCCACTGCAGTCAGCATGTTGTTGTGTCCCTGAGACACTTCACCCTAAATGGCTCCTGTGGGGATTGTCCAGAGTATTGAGTTTGTAAGTCGCTGTGGATAAAAGCGTCTAACGAGTGACATGTGATGTAATGTAATCAAGCATCAACATCAAAGTAAAGCAGAACATTCTACTACACAATAAACACTTTCTCTTCTCTCACATTTAGTACATTTAGCTAATAACAGCTGCATACTTGGTAAGGTTTTGAATTGAGGACTTTAACTTGTAATTAAGTATTTTAACAATCTTGTATTATTACCTTCCTCACGTAAATGATCTAAATACATCTTGCACCACTTGTCTAACTACTATAGATCAAATCTGCAAGGCCATTTGGAAAACAAAACAAGGGGTACACAGTTTGTCTTTCAGCGATTGATGAAACTTGTGTAAAGGGTGGAGTTACAATAGTTGTCAGGGATTGTTTTCTACGACATCATTCAGAGGAAAGCTACACAGTGTTCACTTTGTCTGTTTGTTTGTCATCCCATGCTCTTTATGTTCAGGGTCATGGAGTCCTGGAGATGCCTTCAGGGACAGGGAAGACTATCTCTCTGCTGTCTCTCATTGTTGCCTACCAAAAGGTGAGTTTAGCTGTGTTCAAGTGACTTCCTGTGCTCCACTCTTGCTTCCCAGCAGCCAGTGCCACATGAACAGAATGACATATGTTACTTTCTCTCTCTCAGGCATTTCCTTTGGAAGTGACCAAGCTGATATACTGCTCCAGGACTGTTCCAGAGATTGAAAAGGTGAGTCAATGTCAAAAGAAAATCACACATCAGAAAGTCAAATTGATATTTCCAAGGATATGTTGAAGTGTAATCCCAGCAACAACAATTTGTCTTGTCCTACCCCTTTGAAATCAAACATGAAAAACACTATTTCCAAGATGTTAAAAACAGAACTTGTATTGTATATTTGATCTGCTGTATCTTCAGGTCGTGGAGGAGCTGCGGAAGTTGATGGAGTATTATTCCAAGCAAACTGGTGAAAGCAACAACTTCCTGGCTCTGGCCCTCTCCTCCAGAAAGAACCTGTGCATCCACCCTGAGGTAACAGCTGCTGCTCCGGACACAGCAGGGCGACACGGGCCATTCCCCTCACAAAGACATGTTCAAAACTCTTTAAAGATTTGGTCTAGTTTTTCTCCCTTGAAATGTAGGCCTTATATTCAGTATGCTCCGACTGATCTTCCAGTCATTTCCCAGTGTTTCAAGGGACAATCAATGTTGTTGGAATCATATCAAAATGCGTGTTGTTCAGTATAGGGTTACTTACAAGATGCATTCTTGAGGTTTGACCTTTACTGGGAATCATTTGAGTGATTGGACCTCAGCTCATATGCCAATAATTGTCGTGTCTGCTTCTATCCAGGTGAGTGCTCTGCGCTTCGGCAAAGAGGTTGATGGGAAGTGCCACACCCTGACAGCCTCGTACATCCGTGCCCAACGCCACAGCGACTCCAGCGTGCCTGTGTGCCGCTTCTACGAGGTAAACATTCACCGGATCCACCCAGTTTAGACCAGCTGGTATTTTTGAACTAAAGTGGAAGTAAACGAGGCAGGTTAATGTTGGTGTACAAAATCATAAATGACACCCCTCTCCTCCTGCTGTGTGCAGGACTTTGATGCCGTCGGCCGACAGGTGCCTCTTCCTGCAGGCATCTACAACCTGGACGACCTGAAGGACTTTGGGAGGAGGAAAGGATGGTGTCCTTATTATCTGGCACGCTACTCGGTATATTGCACTTCAGAATTCTGAAAACAGGAAACATGTATCGTAGTATGAAAAAGGAAAGCCATTACTAATGGGTTTGATAGGGGACTAAGCTTAAAGCGACTATCCAACGAGCAAATAGTTTTCATTGAATGTTTCTTTTATTGAAAACCCTTGTTGTGCACAAATAAAGTGTACAGATGTTTCTCTCCAGCAATGTTTGCTGGCTGCTGTTGACACACTTATCTGCAAAGAATCTGTCACAGTTACTCTTTACTGAAGTAACCCTCCCCTGACTGTGTCTCCTCTCAGCTCCTGCACGCTAACATCGTGGTGTACAGCTACCACTACCTGCTGGACCCAAAGATCGCTGACCTGGTGTCCAAAGAGCTGTCCAAGAACTCTGTGGTGGTGTTTGATGAGGCTCACAACATAGGTCAGTGTCACAGTCCCATTTCGAGCCATCCAATACATTTATTCTGTATTCGGCTCCTAAACCATTACATGTGAGAACATGGATGGATCAATTCAAGATATCTATTGTAATCATGTAAACAACTAAAGAAATAAGATAAGCCATTATTGATTACAAGAGGGTTGTAGCATCATAAAGGCTCAAATGAGTACAGATAAAATGTTAGGTACATGCGACTAGAATTATAATAATGTCTAAGAGCATCCAAAGACAACGTTAGGAGGAAAAAGGCTTACACCAGAAAAATATGTAATGTGATTATTAATGATACTTAGTGTTGTCTGTAGTGTTGGAACAATATATAATTGTATTGCTATAAACAAACACTTACAATAAGGTGATTGGTGTATTTCCGTTATAATCGTGAATATTCTCACATGTGTTATTTTAAACAACATTTGAGCTTGTTATCATGCTATAGAGGTGGAAATAGTGCTTAATTAAAAAAAGTCAGTCAGGAGGGCCATAACATTGTCCAGTAAATTGACAGGAATCTCATTGGCTAATATAGAATGCTTATATAAGGACAGAGTTTTAAAACTGGCACACAATATTGTGAGTGACCTGAGGCACCCTCTTGCCTCTTACTTTGAATTGTTGCCATCCGGGCGGAGATATCGTGCCCCTTATTTCAAAAAGAACAGATCTAGGCTGTCTTTCGTCCCACAAGCCATCAAACTCCTGAACAAATGATGGCTAGGACGCACTGTTTACCCAGCTGGTCTGGCCCTGTCCCCCCTATTTCGCAAATGAGGGCCTATAGGCCCCTTGTCATGTCTGCCGATATCTGGTTTTCTTATGTCTGTTTGTTTTTATCTGTGTCTATGTTGTTGTCAGTGATGTATTGTCTTAACTTTTTGAAATGCCTCTGTGATGTGCTGCAACCCATTTTCCCCTTGGGGACTAATAAACGAATACTACTATACTACTAATTAAAAAAAAAAAAGCTAAAATATTATCCTAGAAAATAATAAATAGATAAATATTTACATTATACCATATTGAGTTGTTTGTGTGAATCTAGCAATATCATAGGGATTTGATATCGTTAACATGATAATATAACAATATTCTTCTTTCCTTTCTCCTCAGACAATGTGTGCATAGACTCCATGAGTGTGAACATCTCCAGACGGACTCTGGACCGCTGCCAGGCCAATGTGGACACTCTGCAGAACACCATCCAGAAGTAAGACCCTGATGCAGTCGGCAGTGCACTGACGCCCTGACCTCATGGAGGGCGGCATCCACCGTCCTGTTACTGCCATCTTTCCTCATGTCGGAGTCTGCTAGTCCCCTCAGGAAACAACCATCTTTCTCAACTGTCATGTGGAGAGACGTCAGCCCACTTTCACAGCTCTTTGTTGGCTTTTATCTCACAGAATGATTGTATGAATATGTATCACCTCAAAATATAATTTCTATCTATGGTTGTGTCCTTATGACTGAAAAACACAAATAATTACAAAGGTTCAAGGTTCTTTATTTAGTCGTACGAACATAGCTGCAGTGTAGTTATGCCGAAGAAACTCTTGTGTCACAGAGCCTTCCCGAAAGTGATGCCAGCAATAAAGCAGGTTTTAAATAGAAATGTCCTAAAAGGCAATATCCTCCTGATAAATAAGGAACGTATACTTTCCCCCTGGTAATCACACCTACAGGTAAAACAAATGTCTTTCATTTGAACCCTGCCCCTTTCTGTCTGACAGTATAAAGGAGACAGACGCTAATAAACTGAACATGGAGTACAGGCGGCTGGTGGAAGGGCTGAAAGAAGCCAATGTTGCCAGGGAAACGGACGTCTACCTCGCCAA